TGTTACTGTTAGGGATCGTTACTCCCCCAATACATTGTAGATCTATCCTGTTTCGTTTGCACTGGTGAAGCAAAACTGATCAATAGAGAGAGATACTTACACTCCAAGTTACTGATGAAGCAAAACTGATCAATAGAGAGAGATACTTACACTCCAAGTTACTGATGAAGCAAAACTGATCAATAGAGAGAGAGATACTTACACTCCAAGTTACTGATGGAGCAAAACTGATCAATAGAGAGAGAGAGAGATACTTTCACTCCAAGTTACTGATGGAGCAAAACTGATCAATAGAGAGAGATACTTACACTCCAAGTTACTGATGAAGCAAAACTGATCAATAGAGAGAGAGAGATACTTACACTCCCAAGTTACTGATGAAAAGCAAAACTGATCAATAGAGAGAGATACTTACACTCCAATGTCACTTGTTTTTCCAGCATTATTGTCAAACTCAAACAAGTCTGCTGACTCACTTTTAAAATAGATCTATTTTACGCTTGACCAGACCCCACAAGACAGATTTTCTCTCCTTACATTAGATCTACAAAATTACGACAATGTACACCGTATGCACAGTAGGCCTACTACAGTAATAAATAACCCCTCATTGCGCATAGTAAACAAAAGCTGTGAAATTCAAGCTGGTACATGTACCTCTGTATAATGATTCAAGAGTATGTTCGGTGCAAAATGTGAAATGATATCTGATATAATAGGTAAAACACCCCCACCAACACTATCAGGACTTAGGAGGCAGGACCATGAGTTTAATGTCCATCTCTGAAAGGACTGAACCAAACAGGAACGTCCCGGTGTATGCCTTTCCCAACAACACAGAGTTGGACTGAGCTGAGGCTCGAACCCCAGAACCTGCAATCAGCAGCAATCTCATGATTATGGGTCCAGTACCCTGAACACTAGGCTACCGACGCCATCTGCACAAAGTGTGACCAAACACGTAAATTCTAAGAACTCATTATAAATACTTATACCTTCAGACAAAGCAGTGATGGTGAGAAGCAAAACTACACAGCTGACTATTATTACTTTGAAACTCATCTTCAAGACAGACCCCAAAAAGCATTCAATAATTCATGAAAGCACAAGATACATGATTTGCACCAAGAGCTTGTGTACACACCAAGACTTCACTAGTGCAAACGAAACAGGATAGGCCTACAATGTATTGGGGGAGCAATTGAAAAAGATACATTAGAAATGAACATGTTCCAAAGTGATTATTTGTCGTTGTAACTTTAATAATTAATAATAAAGGCATAAATAATCAATAGGCAAAATAGACCAATGTCATGTAGGCCTACAATGATAGAGAACAAGATGAGAGAGTGAAGATAAAAAGTAAGCATAGTAACTTATTCTTCCTGACTCGAGCAAGCCAGCAGTCCAGATAAAAGTTTTCTACCTTATCAGTCAGTAAACATTGATAAATCTCGTCAATATGTGGGAACTAAGACTTTTGTCTCTAATAGTTACTTGGACTTTGAACTGCTCTGTCAAACAGAAAGCTTTTTGTTCCCTTTCTCTCCTACAAAGACAGATAAAATCAGTTTAGAATGTGATCTAATCATTTTTACATGACATGATAGAGATTTCATTACAAGAGCCTAGCATGAATTTTTTCTGTAGATTTTAAACTTTCACTCCCGCACACAGGTGCACTGCTTTGTGGATCAAACTGCAGTATTTTTTGCAGCAAATCACAAATGGCCACTTACACTGTAGCAAATCAATTATTTTCAAGAAAATTTCAACCGTTATATATTAGCAAAATATATCAAATTAAGGGAAAATGAATTTTCTTAAAACATCAGTATATAATTTACTTTCCCCATCCAACAGCAATAATCCCCCTGATGGTGATTTTTATATTAATTTATAACTAAATAAGCTTAATTTTATCATGATCTGAGATAAAATACGTCGCAAAATGCAAAGTGCAAGACAAGCATGATAACAAACTGTTCTTGAATGTTTGTTTTTGTTTTAGTTTTAGTTGAGGTTTTACGGCGCTCGCAACTGTCGCAACTGCATAAAAGTATACGGCTATACGGTCATCATATGAGTATGAGCGCCAATTCTTGAATGTAGTTGGCAAGCTAAGTAAAAAACCATAATAATGAGAGGACACTTTTTATAAATCGCTCCCACTGAAATGGAATCATACTTTTGCTGGGTCAATTCATTACTTGGCCTTTGAAGTCAATGATGAACCTGACCAACCTTGTGAATGCAGAGAAGTTCCATGCCTTGAGAAAGGACAACAATTTTTTTCTCAAGTATCTGTACTGTTAAAAAAACATTTGATACAATAAGTTCTAAATGCTTCTACAGTATTCAGATTTCAAGCAACATTCCATGTAAAAATCAAGACCACAGCCTCTCGTACAAGAGCACCATCATCATCTAGAGCTCTCATCAGCATGCCAAAGGACATGTCTTGAATTTAGAAAAGCTACCACATTCATGTCTTTGGACTCAATTAGACAGACTAAGCCTTGACTATAGATAGGTTTTACTACATGTATTCACATTATAGATCTAGAATCTAGATCTAGATCTAGATCTAATATCTTATTCTAGACTCAAAATATTATCTAGAATCTACTTTCTAATCTAGATTCTAGATCTAGAATCTAGCTAGATAAAGACTTGTAACACACATCTACAATCTGGCACGGCAATGCCGTGACTGACGGAACCCGTTCTAGATCTAGATCTAGATCTAGATTTCTATAAAATTTTTGATTCAGTCTCATACTCATTGTCAGAGTGGTAGGAGTATGATACAAAGCCATGTATTTGGATCGAGATTTAGAGATGTACATATTAGACTAGATCTAATCATTATCATTTGTGGTGATCTTGAATGATCTTGATCTCATTACTTATTCTACGGAAATAAATCTAGATTAGAGGTCTATTGCAGTAGGCATCTAGAATTAGAATCTAGATCTAGATTCTAGCCTTGTGGCGAAATCTAACGTAGCCTAAAAAAATCCAAACCAAGACCAACGGCAAAGGAACGTCAAACAAAATGACTTCCGAATCAACTTCAGTCTAAAATCCCAAGAGATAAAAATCATTTGCATTCAATCTTATAACTTGAAATTCGGTTGCAATTAATCTACTTCCCCTTCCCATTTGTTAAACAACTGGGGGAAGAGTTTTTGAAATTCAGTCAAAATATAACAAAGGACAAACAAAGGAGAAAGCCTTGCCCAAAACAAAGTTATCGTGAGCTAAAAATAGAATCTAGCCTAAAGTAAAGGCAGCCGCGGCAATGCTCTCCACCACGGGTTTCTCATAGGCTAGGCTAGCCTAAGCTAATAAATTATGTTGATATTTTAGCCAATCAGCGTCGTGCTCACATTCGCTGCAGAGAATAGCAATCCACAAATTTATTCCCAACACAAAATTTAACTTATCAAAGTATAATTTAATGATACTCACCGGTTCTCATTTAATTTGGTAGAAAGAAAATCAGTCTTAGTGAAATTGATAATAGAGGTAATCCAACTTCTCCATTCGGATCGATTACATTCAGCGCACAAGCAGGCCATGCCGCGGTGCATTGTGGGACGGAGTATAAAAGGCTTGGTCACGCCCCAAATTTCGTAGTCAATGTCGGACAGCCTACCCCTGAATTTTCTCCTGAACATACTAACGGGCTAGTGTTTAGGAATGATTGCTTTGGGAGCCGATTCCCGGGACCCACAGCTTGATTCATCCTTTGCCAGTTTCCCTATTTCAACATTGGGAGATGAGGTGAGAATTTTCATCCTTTTTTAAAACCAATTTATTCATTTCTTGTTGTTTTTATGCCACTTCAGTTTCCGTGGTTGGGTCAATTCTCCTCGTCCATCTCAAATGGTCTCTACTAGAATCTAGATCTAGTAGATCTTTAGACCCAGATGACAAATCAGTCGAAATGAGGGCTGGTCGTCATTGACCACTCCAAGCTCGGTGCCGAATTGTCTTGACTATCTTTCACTTGATTCATGTGGGTTTTTTTAGTGGTTCAATGGCTCTTTCGAGAGTGGACGACGTTCCTGCTCGACTCACTGAGATTGCAAAATCCAAATAGTGGGCGCACGTAGCTTTTATACCCGCTCAAACCACGTGACGTTGGTCCAATGGAAGCCCTGCATTCCTGACCAATCGTAGAGCTCGGATGTGCCACGCTGTCGCTGCATGATTGTCGAATGGCACTCTGCTGCGTGCCGTGTGCACAGGGATTTAGCCCTCTTGTTCAAGTTTTTCCCCTCTTGCTGAAGCTCGAATTTCTGCACGTTGCCAGTGACCTTTGATGTCCTCAAGATTTTTACGAGCACCATGTACCAAGGGACAAAACCCACTTTATCATTACGAAATGCAAGTTTGCTGAGATCTATTGCTTCCCTCTATTGAATTGGTGTTTTTTGGTAAACAGTGGATGGTAAAGTTTTATTATTTTATTTATTGTTGTGGCTTACTTGATAGTTTTACTTCCAGTTACTCAGGGGCTTGAATGCTTCACTCGTGCAGATAACACAGGACAATGCTGTACTGGGATGTCTATGACTACCCAGGGGCAACCAGCTCATATCCCTCTTGAACTTTGACTTTAGTAGATATTTTAGAGAAGTTTCAGAATTTTGAGCAAACCCACTACAAGAAGCCAGACTTTAATGAAAGAAAGTAAATTGATTTGTGGAAGAAAAATGTCGTGCAGACCTCAATGAAAGATAGTGAAATGATTTGTGAAAAAACCCCACTTTTTCTGTTTTCTGTTTTAACCTTTTGCAAGTATCAAGCATGGTAATTTGTTTAATTTTTTATTGTGGAAGCTCTTAAATAGCGTGAAATATTTGTATAGCTGCAAAATTAGTTTTTTTAAATGGTCTGTTTTTGTAATTTTAAATTTGATACACTGTTGCGTTCAAAGTTGATAAGTAGCATAAACCTTAACCTTCATTTGACTTTTTTTTTTTCATCAGCTACCGTCACTGAGCTGTGATCTCGGTGACCTGAACATCTCTTCCAATGAGATTGACCAGCTGCTGAGGCAGAGTTTTGGGGATGCTTCATTTTCCTTGGACACTCACATGCAGTTTGACTCAGAGGTGCCGGACAGCTATGGCTCACAGTCACCATGCGATCTGAACTTCTTCTTGGAGGATAATTCGAGACCCAGGGATCTGAACCTCTCATTCCCCGGTGAAGGCAATGTCTCTCCACTCTTCAACACCCCTGCCGATGCACCCCTCCCCTTTGACACAAGCGTGACCCCACCACACTCGGGTGGGGTGACGCCTCAGAACATGTCCCGTTCATCTTCACCCACGTGGAGCGAGAGCAGTGGCAGCATGAGTGCCAGCAGCTCCACCGTAGCGTCACGAGGTACCGGACGGTCGCCAAAAAGTAACAACCCTGTTCCCCGCCACAAGAGGCCATCTCACAAGCGTGCTGAAGTCAAACGGAGGGATAAAATCAAGGTATACATCCTGAAGGAACTTATCTTGTCCGTGGGGTCTCAGAGGGGAACCCTAATAAGAATCTTCCAGATCAGTATGAACGATGCATTTTAAAGTTTGTTAACAGTATCAGCTCAATATTGTCTTAACACTTTGCCGTCATATTCTGGGGAAAATCCAAAGAAACTGGGCGGTAAACATTGCCAATCGGCGAGAAGAGGCAGCCAAGTGTTTAAGGAAGTTCTGAAAGTTGAAATTGAATAAAAATCATTCTTTTTTTCCCCCTTCGAAATATTGAATGGCTATGGGTGTTTGAGAGGAAGGGATATATAAAAGTAGTGAAATAGCTGACTGCTTCCCTACACTTATTACTGGTTTGACACAGCAGATCAAGCTTTCATTTCATTGAATATTATTTAACAAACTGGAGGGGGGGAAGGGGAGGAAGAATAAAAGGAATGTGTGACGAGGAAGAGGCGTTTATGAATAAGTGATAGGGAGGAGAAGAAAGTAGGATGGAAGAGGGGAGGTATCTCAGATTTGTTGAACAGCATGTCTTTTTCTCTTTGAAATACTATTTCTAACGTACAGGTTCTTTCAAACAAGTTACCTAATATTCTTTGGCCTCTTCGTTTCAGACTTGTCTTGATGACCTTAAAGATCACGTTCCCTCCCTACGTGATAAGGGTAAACTCAGCGAGTCAACAGTTCTTACTAAAGGTGAGGATCCTTTGAGTTTTCTTTTCTTTGCGCTATTATTTGTCTGCCTCTATCAATAACCTTTTTCATTTTCAGAGACGGAGGTAAGAAATAGCACTGTGTTTTGTTTAACTTCAACTGAGACCAAACTGGAAACAAATACTGCCCCAAAAGAAAAAAAAATTATTTGATTTGTGCACCATTTCAGAGGTGTATTTTATAAGTCAAACGCTACACAGGTGCTATGAAACTTTCTTTTTCCTATAATTTGTTTTTGCCCTTTTTTTTTCATTTGCATACAATATATTTATATTATGTGGTAAGGCTGTATCTAGTAGTGCTGTTATTGGAAGATTGTATAGTTGAGTATGGAGGTGTGTGAAAGTTCTGTGATTGTTGCTGTAGTGCGTTAGATGTGCCCGTTTAGAGGGGCACTTGACCCTTATTCTGACCAGTCTCCCTCTTTTAGCGGCTGAGTACATTCACCAACTGAAAGACGGTTACAAGGACCGAGGGAGCAAAGCAGCAGAGCTTCGCCGGGAAATTGAGTGCCTGAGCTCAGAAATTCAGTAAGTCTGTTGCGCCGGCCAGCACATAGACTGTTGTCAACCAACCGTCCGTTCTTCAGAGTACAATAGTGGTCCGCGCCACTTCTCCCTCTTCTTGGGATCACGGCTTGTTCCCAGGCACTGTGAAGAGTGAGAGGAGTGGTATAGTGTGATAAGTAAGACCCAAAACGGCGTGTGGGTAACTATGCGTGTGCTTAGTTCTTCAAATTATACACATATTTTTTTACCACTCCTTTTGTTTTTGGGTTTGTTTGGGGTTGTTTTTGTTTTTGTTTTTTTAATATAGTTTTTTAGTTTTTGTCCCTCCTCCCAAGTATTTACCTATTTTTATTTATTGCCCTTTTTTACACCAAAGAAAGGAGTGGTGAAAAACAATTTAAGGCAGTGAGATTAGTGTGTGTGTTTTATACTTATACATATGTTGTTGCCTCGTGTAACAGCAAAAGTGCTTGAAGTCATGAAAATCATACTCATAAAATAGGCTACCTATTTTGTTTGGGACTTTCGTCGCTGAGTGTTTTGTATAAGAGGGAAAGTACTCAGATGACTGCAATTTTTAATTTTTCTGTATCTTTTCTCAACTGAAGTGGAAAGTTGTGTCTGAATACTGTACACTTTCTTTGATAACCTGAAATGAAAAGGGTTATACTTGATTTTATGACTTCTTGTACATTGTGATCCTAACTTCTGAACTTTCTTTTCTTTACAGGTTAGCCATGGTATTATTTATTAGCTTTTTAAAATTTAGCAAATTAACCTCAATTGCTTGTAGCATAGTTATAATGTCTAAATTAAGTGATATTGTATCTGATGGAAGTGAACTTTTGATAATATTCCTCCCATTTATAAAGTTAATGTTTGTATCACAAACATATTTAATGTAACAAGTAATTTATCATTTAAATTTCAGGTTTGAGTAAATGAAAAATTTCAACAAAATAAAAGGAAATATATATTACATTTAGATAGGCTTTGCAGTTTTTTCTATTCTTTGTAAGAATCTTCCTCCTCCTTAAAAGCCAGGTCTCAGGTTTTACTTTCTAAATCTGATGCCAAGTAATGCATCATAAAGGCTTTTTTATTGAATTTTGTATCACATTCATTTTTCCTCAAGTCTCTTGGTGCTGTGTACAGTCAAAGCTTTTTATACTTGTACCGCCATTTGTTACAATATCATCACTAATTGCCAACACTTTATTTCTACAAGGAACTATGACATAACATGGTAAGGGGGAAAAAAATCAAATACCAGGTCAATACTTTTGTATTTTTAGTACTAAGTTGTACACACACGGATCATCTCACCAGTTTCAACTTGCTCAAACTTTATGTGATGAAGTTTTGTCTTGAAATGGTGATGAGTGTGTGTACACACATACAGGATTGAGTTGTACTTTGTGACTACATCATTATTTTTTTTACTACACTAGGTTGAAAAATTTCTCTTCTCATTTGTACTGCGTTCAGAATGTTTTTAAGTAACTAAGCATAGCCTCATTGCCGGCCTGGAGTCTTATGTATAGTTTGTAACAAGCATTAACATTGGCTGATGTATTCTAGTATAAACCATATCTTTAAGAAAACTGGTAATACATTCTGTCGTTTGTAAGAATTTGATTAGACTACATGTGAAGCTAGCCAGTCACACCGCACACTGATGTGTCAGAGGGTAGGGCAATTTATTCTATCTTTTTCAACAGAGCGGCACACTTACTCTTAGCACAACTTTTTGTGTAGCTCTGCGTCTCAGCATTTGTCAACAGAACCAAATGCACTGGCTGATTCAGTGTTTCTTTGTATTTGGACCTATTGCTTGAGGCGGGCAAATCGTATTGATAACAAATTCTTTAAGTCCATGCTAGCTATATTATCTAAGAAAAACTTCTATGTGATTCAAAGGTGTCGGTGTAAAGAGGTTTGACTGTAACGCACTATTTGGCCTTTTGCCTCCTAAATTGATTGTATCATGGCTCAAGCAAGTGAAAACAGTTAATCTAATGTCCCTACAACTAATCCAGTGACTCCTGCAGGACAAAAACCCTGAGGCCTGAGCATCTGTCAGGTGAACCTTTCTTCACCTGATTATTTTCTGTTTAGGTGAGCAAAGATGAGTTGTACATCAGTGCTGTTATTTCTTACAGTTCCTTTCAAGAAAATCTTCCAGCGGCCGGCCTGAAGGAAGAAGCCAACTCCTCACCATCTCTTGATGATCTGTTTCAACAATGGGCCTCCGAAGGAAACTGGCAGAATCGAAAATTCTTTATAGTATCCTTTTCTACTTTTTGTTTTTCTTCATTTGTTGCTTATATTGTTATTAACAAAAAAATTTGATGGATGTTTGTTGGGGGTGGGGGGGGGTTGTTGATTTATAGAGTGTTATATCACAGTAATTTGAAAGTTCAGAGACTAATTTTCAACAAGTATCATACATGAGTAAGAGCAGTTTATTTTTTAAAGTACATATTATTCACATAATACAATTTCCTCTTACTGGAAACATTTAACCGGGGATGGGAACAGGGTGTAACAGAGGGACCGATAACATGCAAAAACATACTGTTTTGATGCAGAGAAGAGTTGTCAACCTTAACCCAGGTGCAGTTCAGTTCCCTCACTTCCAAGCTGTTTGAAACCTTCAAGGAAGTAGTCGGTTCAGCTACGACTCTGGACTCCTTGGTATCCAAAGCTCAAGAGTGGCAGGCAAAATACTTAAGTCTCCCTGTCCTCAGAAAACGTGAGTATTGATTGTCGGTAATCAAGTTTGAAGCATTCTTTGGGTAATCCATGCTTTGTTTATATGTTTCATTCTTCGATCATTTTGGGTATAAACTTGTTCAATACCTTCCTCTTAGTAAAGAAAGATTATAACTGCATTATATTTTCAGATTTTAAAAATTGTTAGTTTGGAGAAACAAGAAAAAATGTTCTAGAATTGAAATAAATTTAACATTTTTCTGGGAGTTTCAGAGTGTTGCTGAAATACTATATGTATTCTCTTGTTTCAACGTCACTTTTTTGTTGAAAAAACTCAGCTTATGGAACATTTTTACAGTGAAAAAGATAAGCTTTATTTCTGCATCTATAAAGTTCAAAGGACCAATGAGGTGCTCCTGTTTAGTTTCTCCAACAGCACAAATGATTTTTATTTCACTCCACATGTCTATAAAGTTCTTGTTACAGCACGGTAAAGCAAATTTTGAAAAGATGATTGATCACTTGAGGTGCATTTTTGAAAATTAAAATTTTATGCGTTTGATTTGTGTTGTATTGTCAAGTATGTTTTGTTTTTATCCACAGAAATCTTGTCAGGAATGCTTAATCTGAGCAGAAAAACCAGTATTGTTTCAGACTCGGAAAGCCTGAAGCTAGAGTTCCAGGAAGGAAACTCATGACGCTAAGACTGGGTGCCAATGGTTGCCCATGCTGTAATGTTGAAAATTTATTTGTGTTGTAAATATATTGATGTTAAAGTCATTGAGCTTTTATTTCCATGTACAGTGTCTTCTTTCTTTTTTTTTTTTTAGTTTATTCAGTTCATGACTATAATATATTATAGATATGTACAAACTCAGTTGTCACTGAGTAATGCATAACATCTTGTTCTATAAAAGTTTCATACCTAATGATGATGATAACTAATTCAGTGACTGCTTTAGTGTTCGAACATTCGGGGATGATGGGGATGGGTCTTCCTAAGAAGGAAAAGTTGTGGGTGCAGTGATGTTAACTGTGTTAACAACTTGTTGTAGCCTATGTGTGATGCATGGATTGAGATCCAACTAGATTTTGATACAAAGCTGGAAAGATAGTTTTGGACAATATAACATCATGCATCATACATTCTTCACGTCTAGGAGTGATAGAGCAATCATATTCTCAGGGAAAGCCTTCACGGCTGTCAATCATGGATATTATATAATATATGACTATTCTTTTCTTGTTTTGTCTGAATACTGTAAACCTCATTAGCTCTATCACTCTTAAAGATGTGCTAGCAAGTCTTGAAATATTGTGGGGGGTTTTTGTTTCATTGTTCTCTGCCGCATAATAATTGAAGAGAACTATCAAAAGTTACAGCCATTGTACATTGATTTGAACGCCTGTTTTAAAAAAGAGTCTCTTTTTAACCCTATCCGTACGTCGTGTTTAACTACCGTATCCATACGACGTGGGGAACTGTGTCACCGCTTTCAAAGAGGAAATTTACTTGTTAATTCGATCCGTATGCTTTGCATAGCAGTCTGTCAAAATGATTTTTTGAGAAATACTGAAAGTTTCAAAGAGATCTTCGTACTAGAAGTATTCTAAAATGTGAAGAATACAACCCCGGGAGTACAAAATGATCCCTGGGCGTACGGATAGGGTTAAATGCACAAAAATACATTTATAAATATATATATAGATAGTAATAAGATTAATCAAACATATGAAACAGTAACTAAATTATAAAAACCAAATTCAGGATGCACAAATCTTTGGCACTTGTGAAAAGATATAAAATATTGCTTCAAGGATTGCGAGTGGAAACCTGCTGCCTAAAGAGTTGGCAGCTCCATTTTCTTTTACTCTCTTGCTGTCTTTAGTTTTAAAATCGTAATTTTTCTTTTAAAGAAGACTACCCGTACAGAAGAAAATTTTCTATGGTTCGCCTTTTAAAAAAATGGTTATAATGTAACTTTCTTTCCGTACACACGCGTACATGATATATTATATATATCATATTGTAAATAGTGTATGTTTGTGTCCAACCACAATCATGTGAATGATAGGCTGACTTTGATTCCTTGAAGGAAACGGTGGAGTCATAATGTCATGTATATAATTTTGTACAGGTTAGAACAGATATTTTGATGTTCATATACTGCTAACTGAAAATGACATTAAATTGCCTTTTGAAAGATAAATTTGTGCTTTATAATCACATTAAAAAATGTGATGCTTTTTGTTCTTGTCCTTGTCCTAGAATGAGCATTCGTTAACCCAGATTTATTGAAACAGTTCGTTTTGCATGCATTATATAATATTATATATCAATGAATTTGTTGGGTTTGATTTTCAGTTTAGCCTAGTCTGAGGTTTGAGTAATCCAAAACCAAAGTCTGAGAAGCGGAAACATTTCGAACTATTTTATGGAGTTGTCCACAATTTAAGTGCACCGGTTAGTAATGGGGCATTCTTCACTGATGCCTCTATTGTGCGTGCTTTTGATGTCAGTTGTAAAGAAGTTCAGAAAAAAGAGAATTGTATTTTTGTAAGACATTTTCTCTTTCCTCGCTGCCACTGCCATTGTTGTGATCGTTTAGGACGAACCCTGACTACAGCTTATGCCAAGAAATGAAATGAAGAGTGAAATATGGCAAGGTTTTAACAAGGTGTGCAGGTGTTTTAAGTCAATTGGTCTACATGTACATGTATTCATGTAGCAAAGTTTAGGCCTTGCCTGTGACATTATTAGTCATCGACAAATGAAAAAAAAATCTGTATAGAGATGGAATTGGGTGCACAAGGTGTGTTAGCACTAACACGGCTTCTTCTACCCGGCACTATTTGGCTAGCGTGACCCTATGTTGAATGTGGAAGGAGTGAGATTTTGGCAGAATTCAAAGTTAAAGTGATGCTGAGCACCGCCCTGTCACACACACACACACACACTCTCTCTCTCTCTCTCTCTCTCTCTCTCTCTCTCTCTCTCTCTCTCTCTC